GAGGGGCTGCGGGGGCCCAACGGGGCATTCGCCCCTGGTCAGAGCGTGCCTGGCATGGCACCGCTGCCAGGGCTCAACAACCTTAACCGGCCCGGCATGCAGCGGGGAGCCGGGCTCAGCGCTCGTGCCACCATCCCCCCGGGGTAAGGTGGCTTGGGGAAGGGTGGTCTGGGGACAGGGACAGCCGAGGCTGTGGGGATGCCAGGCAAGGTGGGCGCGGGGTGGGCACACAGAGCCGGAGGTGGCAGTGCCTCATCCTCTGCTGTCACCTTGCACCAGCAGCCCTGGCTCTTCTGGCATTGTGTCGCCTCCCCACCCTGGGGACGTGGTGGCAGAGGGGGACACCCCTAGCAGCTGGATGGTCCCCTGGATCCCTGCCTCTGCAGAGGGGCTGCGGTGATGCCACCTGGCAAGGTCTCTGGGGAGCACACAGTCGTGGGGATCCCAGCCCTGGTGTCCCCTACATGGGTGGGAATCACTCACCAAGGGGCTGAGGGAGGGTGAGCAGAGCCCCGGGAGTGGTGTCCCTGTCCCGACAGCCTGTCCCATCGCTCCCAGCTCCCTGCCATGGGGGCAGGATCCAGCCCTGGGCTGGGGGCCGGGGGACAGGCAGGTTCACTGAGCCCCCCCCGGTCCCAGTGCGTTTCCTTCCCCTGCTGACGTGCTGCTTTCGCTTCCGCGTGCCGGGCGCTGGGCCAAGCAGTCCCTGTCCCCATCACTGTCCCCATCCCCATCTCGGCACACAGGCCCTGTCCTGTGCATCCCCATGGACAGGTAGGAGGGGGCGAGGAAGGTGCTGGGGGTGCTGGGCTGCCCCACCCCCCCGCCACTGCCCTGGTCTTGGTGTGGGTAGGGGCAGCTTTGGGAACGGGAGGGAAAAGGCTTGCAGCCCCGGCTCCTGTGGGGCTGAGTGCTGCCCAGCTCATCCCTGTGATGCATGAGGGCTTTTGGGATTGAGGAGGGAGGTGACACTGCTGGGGGGGCTGGGGCAGTCACCCCAGGGCAGGAGAGAGCTTGGGTACCGCACGGGGCTCCTCTGCAGGGCTTTCTTACTTGGCCTTCAGCCCTCTGCATGACCCATTCCTTCCCTCCTTCCCTCCTTCCTACCTTCCTACCTTCCTCTCTTCCTCCCTTCCTCCTGTCCTTCCATCCCTCTGTCCATCCACCCGTCCCTCCATTCAAACATTCATCCGCCCATTTCTCTGTCCCTCCATCCCTCCCTCCTTTCACCCCAGCTGTGGGCACGGCCACATCCACCCCTGCGCCCACCAGCACCCAAGCCCCAGCTCCCACCCAGATGCACGCGTCTGTGCCCCCAGCTGCGCCCCTGGCCCTGCACGCGTGGGTACGCACCCAGCGCCGTGCATGCATGGGTGCACACATGGGTGCACAGGCAGGCAGGGGGGCACACA